ACGTTAACAAAATTACTAAGTTTCTATTATGACAGTTTTTATTTTTTTAGTTTGTTCAGTAGTTCTGTGTACTTAGTTTGCATCCTTTTTAGGAAAATTCAGGAAACTTTTTTTCCTAGAGAGTAGAAAATGGTAGGACTTAGACATGGAGAAAAACATAAACTGGTAATGAGGATAGATAATTGGTAATAGTTAAATGCATCTTAAAATGAATCTACTTAAAATGGGGACAGAATTTGTTCTGAGAAACTGATTCGAATCCTTATATTCATACGGAATTTTAAGACATGCTGAGTAGCCAAAAATATCTTGAAAAAAGAAAATGTTGGGGGACTCACAATTCCCAATTTAAAAATTACAAAGCTGCAGTAGTAGAAACAGTGTGATAATAACTTAAGGGTAGAGATATAGATCAATAGTATTGAATTGAGTCCAGAAATAACCTCTTGTGTCTGTGATTATTTCATTTTTCAGAAGAATGCCAAGACCATTCAATGGGGAAAGAACATTCTCTTTAAGAAATGATACTGAAATAACTAGATACCCATATGTGAAAGAATGAAGCTAGACTCTTCCCTTCATACCATGTACAAACATTAACTGAAAATAAATAAAAGACCTAAATATGTGTTAAAGTTATGAAATTATTAGAGAAAAATAAAAGAGACCTTTTTCATGATCTTGGATTTGGCAGTGGTTTCTTAAATAAGACACCAAATCACAAACTGTCAAAGAAAAAATAGATATATTGAATTTGTACATTTAAAAACATTGTCTAGAGACCATAAGGATAAACCACAGGAGAGGAGAAAGTATTTGTAAATATATCTAGTTCTAATATCCAGAACATATAAAGACATCTTATATATCAACAACCTTAAACAATAACAGTGTACAAAGAACTTAAATACACATTTCTCCAAAGAAATATGCAAATATCCAACAGACACATGAAATAATGCTGAACATCATTTGTTTTAAGGGAAGTATCATCCAAACCACAATGAGATAATACTTTGTATCCCACTATTATTACATAATTAAAAAAGACAATAATGTCTGTGATTGTGGGCGAAAGGAATCCTTCTGTATTGCTGGTGGAATGTAAAATAGTGCAACTGCTTTGGAAAACAATTTTGCAAAAAATTAAACATGAAATTTCCATATAATCCCACAATTCCATTTCTAGGGATATACTGCAAAGAATTGAAAACAGGCACTCAAAGAAATATTTGTACATGCATGCTCATTTAGCCTATTCACAATAACCAAAAGGTGGAAGCAGCTCATATAGCCAACAAAGGATTAATGGATAAACAAAAGTGGCACATACATGCAGTGAAGTATTATTAACTGTAAAGAGGAATGATTTTTCTCTGTACATGGATGAACCTTGAAAACACTATGCTCAGTGAAAGAATCCAGACACAAAAAGTCATGTATTTTATGTTTCCATTTGTATGAAATATCTAGGATAATTAAATCCATAGAGACCAAAACCCGGATTGGTGGTTGCCAGGGGTTGGGGGAGGGGAAGGAAGAATGGGAACTTGCTGTTTAATGTGTACCAGGTTTTCTCCTGGGATAAAGAAAATGTTTTGGAAACAGAGGTGGAGATGCACAGCCTTGTAAATAAACTAAATGTCCCTGAATTGTCCACTTCCAAATTGTGTGTTACGTGACTTTCATCTAAATAACAAAAAAATGTACATTAGAGATTTGTTTTAGAATGAAACCAAGAATTATGGAGTTAATTTTTCATACCAGTTATTAATTAAACTATATGATATATTTTCAAAATAAAGCAAATTAAGTGCTCGTATTTCTTGACATATTTTAAAATTACAACATACTGACATTTTTCCACTAAACTTTCACACTGTGATTAGAGAAACTGACATTTTCTTGAAAGATATGTGTGCCCCCAAGACCCAGTTCTTAATTTTGTGGTGTTTATTAATCATTGGAGCAAAAAGGATAATAATTCTTTTGGTTGGCATATACTGAGGCACAAAAGAACAGAAAAATGTGATGACCAAACTGGTTGATTTGCATGTGATGTACATATGAAAGAAGTACATTCACTAGTTGCTGAAAATGTACCATGTTGTTATGTATAATTCAAAACCAAAATTTGTTGCGTTGTTGAAATATATCTTAATACATATATTATGCGGGTAAAGGTTTGGAATATTTGTTGAAAAAGTATTGATATTTAGCTTGTTTATTCTTTTTAACTTAAAATTTGGATGTGGTATGAACTTCAGAAAGTATTTACCTCCTTTAGCAAAACTCATTTCGATAGCTGTCTTAACAAGCCTTTATAGGAGCGAAGGTTTATTCTCTTTTAATTAAGCCTTCAAAACTTTCAGGTTCTTGAAGTTTGTAACTAAGCTCTCATATTTTCCAAACTGGGCAAGAAACTTTATGAGAACAAATGTTTTGATATAATATATTATTGCTTCAAGTTCAGCTCAACTGGAAACCAACTTTTCTTATCATGTGGCAACATTTTATTTTTTTCCACTTGGCTCTAATTAGGAAATAATGTAATAATGAGTGTTTGTGTTAAAATTAAGAAAAACAGAATTTGTCTCAAATCAATAGGCTGATATCAGTGTCTGTCAAATATGGAAAAAAAATTATATATTGATCAAAATTGCTTATCTCATTGTGAAGAAAAGGTGAGGGATATCTTTTTGCATTTAATAAAAAGAATACAAACTTGATTTCAACTTCAGATCCATCGTTTAAATGCATCATTTAATGCATTTATCATTTGTACCAGAGGCAGTTCAGATTTAGAGAGCTTATAATTTTGAGCTGTAAGAAAAGGGAATATAAAATCCAAATAAAATATTAGGTAATGGATCTTTGAAAGGAGCAAGGCAAGTGTTATATTCTTCTTGCTCCTTAAGGAGATTTGAATTGGCTGAGAGACATAATGAAACTGTTAAATTAAAATAGGAAATAGTTGCTTAATATTTATGCTAACATATGTTAGCATATGTTATATATATAGCATTTAACATATGTATATAGCATATATTTAACCATATAATATAATTTTACCATAATATAGGAAATAATCACTTAATATTTATCCTAAAATATGAGTAGAGTTTTAGTTCATCTTTAATTTTAGGATGGATGTTTAATCAAGGTATAGACTTACATTCTAGATTTTTCCCCCAGCATTTTAACTATATTGTTCTATTGTCTTCTCTGTTCCATAGTTTATGTTTGATACTCAGCTGTAAGTTTTATTGTTTTTCCTTAGAAGGTGATGTGTCCTTGCTGTTTGTAAGATTTTGTTGTTATCTTTGATTTTCAGCAGTTTGACTGCTAAGTGTGATTTTCTTTCACATTTTCCAGTACAGACTTGGCTATAGTCCCTGGGTCATTGAGTAATGTATTATATCAGTTTTGGAATGTTCTTAACTGTTTTTTCTGAAAATATTGCATCTTCCTCATTCTCTTTTCAGCTATAGTCTCATTGGCTGTTTGATTCCAGCATGTCTCATGTTTATTTTTTTTTTTCTCTTTTTGCTTCAGTTTGGATGTTTTCTGCTGATCTCTTCAAGTTCACTAATGCTGTGTTTTGCTGTATTGAGTCAGCTATAAAATTCAGCCACAGATTTCTTAATTTCAAATAGTGTATTTCTCAGTTCTAAAATTACTGTTAGATTCTTTTGCATAGATTTTAATTCTCTGTTGAAATGTTCCTATTTTCATCTACTGTGAACGTTTTTCTATTTTTTAACTTACGGTTTTCTTTAGATTTTTCTTCAAGTCCTTGTCTTTGAATTCTTTATCATCTGTGGGTTAACATATACAGTATTTTTTCAACTGGTATTGGTCACATACTGTGCTCTTTATGGTATTTTGTGTCAAATACTGTTTATCATATGATCATAGAAATTGATGTAAATATTACTTTCTCTCAATGTTATATTAGAAAGAAATGATGAAGTGTTAACCGTCTCAACTCAACCACAAGTTGAACTGGGTGGTTTGAGTGACAGGTTTAGATATATTCAGTCTGCCTCTGGTTTTACATATCTTAAGGGCCAGACCTATTGTGTTGCAGTCATTTCTTTCTGCTATGGCTTTGTGCTAATGTGCTGTGAAATTGTTAGAGATTTTACTCTACCATTTGGCTTCTTCCCCCTTTCACTCATCTTCCCTCTCAGGTGGGATGCTTTTGATTGATAGCAAATATATTGAGGGGAGATAAATAGAAATTGTACACTGGACATGGTAGGCACAGTCTGTTACAGAGTGACTTTAACTCTTAACCCCCACAGCACTACAGAGAACATTATTTGCCCTATGTCCTGTTCTCTTCTCCTTTCCCCAAATCCTCTTATGCGATCCTAGCCCTCAGCAGATCTCCCAGAAGAAAATTTTCACATGTTTTGTGGGTCCCATGGGATTCCAGTCTGTCGCTGCCAGCCCATGAGCTATCAAAAATTATACTGGTTTCTCTTTTTCTTAGTAGTGTTCCTCTCTCTAATTCTTATGTTTAAATGGCAAATCCTTTCAGAAATGAAACAGTCAGGGGGCTCAGCTTACCCAAAAACAGATGTCACTTTTCTCCTAGTTTACCTTTTTTTTTTTAAATCCAAAGTTCTCTATTCCCTTTAAAAATATGATGTTGGGCATAGTTTATCATTTTTTTTTCTCTAATTGTTGTGAAAGCAGTGACTTGCTACTAGACTGGTAAATTAATTTTGTAAAAGTAAGAATAAAATTTAGACCCATATGTTCGCTCTTTTATACATTATATTTATATAAAGTCTGTGTGCTTAGATTATTGTTTTTTTATTGAATATTAATATTTTCTGCTTAATCTACCAGGCCCCCAAAATAATCATTCTTGATGTTTAGAAAAGACTTATCCCAATAACCATTTTTAATTTCAAAATTCCTTTTGGATAGTAGTAAATTAAGTGAAATGGAAACAAAAATTAATTTTCCTTTCTCCTTTTCCTGTTTAGTGAGTGATAGTTGCTTCAGAAATCTTGCAGAAGATCGCAGTGGAATAAATCTCAAAGATCTCGTACAAGATCCTTCTTTGTGAGTATTTGGTTTTCAGTATTAAGTGTAAATTAAAACTTGGTGTGACTTTGCTCAGAAGAGTTGTAACTGAGCACTAATTTCAGGTTGAGTAATTTCTTCTTTTCTATCAATTTATGTTACATGTAATGAAGCACATAGAACAGTTTCGACAGAAGTGAAGTTATGGAACACTTTCTGTGTAGAAATAGAAGAGATTTTAGAAGAAGAGATAATGAGATTAATGATTGACTTTCAAAGAATATCTACTAATGTGTGATGATATCTTACCAATGTGGCAGTAGATACTAGGCAGATAATTAGTAGTTTAGTTGCTTGTGGAGGCAAGATTGAATTTGTTTACATCAGTTTTAAACATTTTTTAATAACTTGCAATAATAATTTGTAAGTATAATTAAAAATGTAAAATAGTTATTTATAATAACAATATACTTGACTATATTGAATATATTTCTGATGTTTTACATTTGAAAGTTGTATGTAGCACAAGATTTTTGAGGAGTTCAGTAGTTTTCAGTTTTTAATGTTCTTGATCATAAGTCAATTCCATTCTTTATCAGAACATATTTCATATCAGAGTATAATGTCACTTTCATGAATCAACTTTTTTGCAGTTATATGTTAAACTCCAAATCATACATGCTATCTTCTGTAGGAACATATCCTTCCAGTAAGATCCTCTTTCATTAAAAAAATAATCAATACTAGTTAAGCTGTAGGCAGCAGGGAAAGAAAATCAAGTGCTGGCAGATACTTTCCTTGATGATATTTAATGCACTCAGTAAAATATATTACAACAAAAAATTGGTCTTCCACATTATGTGTAATCTATATTCATACAAGTTTTCCTAGTAATTCATTTAAAATGTGAGGAATAAAACACAAGAATGTGTTGAACCTGAAGGTTATTGATTCCTTTAATGATGGTCCAAATCATTTAAAAAATATAGTTATAAGGCAGAATGGTGAAAATGATTGAATATTGAAGTTATTATAATGAACTCATGAGTTCAGAAATGAGTTTCCAATCCCAACTTTCTAAATTTTTTTCTTTTTAAAATGTCTCTCTTCATTTAAAAGAATTGTCAGTACTCTTTCTATATGGTTTTTATTGTAATGAAGATTGACAAGTTGTCCTTCCAATTCTATAAGTATTTAATGAAGAATAGAATTATTATATGTGGATATAAATATTCCTAGTGAGTGAATATTGAATAACATGTTCATGAATGTATGGAAAGAAGCTTTATAATGTCATGGAAAGATTTCATCCACTTGAATGAATAAAATAAATTATTCCATTATGGTTTATTTATAAAGTATATTATTGGTGCAATAGAATTATATATCTTTTTAACACATTCTTTGTGGGGGAAATGTGCTTATATGGACTTCAATGATATAAAAGCTGTGGAGAATTACATTTGAATAATGGATTATAGTAATGAGTTATATAGTATTTTGAAATACTTTGGTACTTCTTCCTAGAATGTAGAATAGTATTCATTAGGTAATCTATCACTAAAATATGATTTTAATCTTATCTCAGATCACTATTACATCAAGTGGACAAAATAGTTTTGAGGCTCTGTTTTAAAGTAGTCAGATATCTTAGCAACATCATTCCCTTAAGTTGGCATTAGTCTCTTGGCATTAGTGTTGAATGTAAGAATTCAGTGAGCAAGAATTTGTCTTTGCCCTTAACACTTGGATTGGGAAAGAACTTTTTACTTAATAAGAATTGTCAAAATGTACTATTAATGACTGATTCATTTTTTAGAGATAGATTTCTGGGTAAAATTCTTTAGAGAAAGTAATGCCTGGTGTGGAAAAATAATTATTTTTTTGGTTGTTATAATGGGAAATATTTTATTCTGAGTTACTATATTGTAGCAATATTTTATATCTCTTGGGTAAGGATTTTTTTTAAGCCAGCTACCTCTTTTTCTGGCCTAGACTCCCAAACTCTTGACATAATTCGTTACTTTGTTCATTAATTACTTTTTTCATTAATTCATGTGCACTACTATATGGTTCTATGTGAATTGTTTTGGTTGTAACATTAAGTAGGAAATACGTGAAAAATAACTTTTCTGAAAGGACTTTCTCAAAAAATCACTGGCATTTGATGAGTACTCTAGTAGGCTTCAATCCATGGGTCACAAAGAGTCAGACATGACTGAGACTTCACTTTCTTTCCTGACAAATGTAAGGGCTGCTAAAATTATATGTTATTTCAATAAATTGTCCCAAATAAAAAATATTAATAAAATAAGATATGTATATTACATGAATGCTCCATATGTAAATATGCCTGTCAGATTTGTATTATGCTTCACCTACTTGAGCTCCTGATGATGAAAGGAGTTGATGTGTGAAGAAAACTGTACTTTAATCACTAATGCTGTTAGAAAGAGACAAGGAAAAAGTAGATCGAGGAGATCCCAGGCTAATTTGGTCAGTGTGACACTCGGAGTGATATTGTAGTGTCTTAATCAGATAAGGTATAAAATATCTGTAAAATCATTGTAGTAAAAGTAATTATTGGGCTTGAGTGAACTGAGTGAGCTATATTGTGTGAACATGATGAAGGACGGATGGAATGGGAGGAGGAAAAAAAATGAGATAGTTGTGAATCCTTAAGCAAGACTTTCTGGTCTTGCTGCTGACTTTTTATCTGTTGTAATAATGAGAGCGGAATCTGACTTGTAGCAAGATTGTGATGAGGGGAATACCTGAGAAACTCTCTTCTTTGGGTAGTTACTCTAAGAATATTTGTTTCTAGTGCAGTCCTATAGGTGTTACATATAACACCAAGTAGAAGAACCTTTCATTTTTTTGCTAATAATGTGCAAAAATGTTTATTTGAATTGGTAATTTATATGCATTTTAAATCAAAATAAACAATTAACTGTTTTACTAATATATCTTCTATTTATGATTATAACTATTTTAAGAATGATTTATTCTGTTGTATGCATAATTTGTCAGTTAGAATTGTTTTATAAGACTTCGTGTTTTAGTTGTGGTCTTCAATGGCACATTGAAAAGTGTTGTGAAATTAGCTGATGTCATCACCCTATTAGAAACATATCTGGGCTACGGCGCATAGGAGCACAAAGAGTTGGACACGACTGAAGCAACTTAGCATGCCCACACATATCACCACATTAGAAATATATCTAATGTTATACATAATTTTCATACATAAAAGGAATTATTCTTAGCATGATACAATTACTTTTTGTTCTCTTTAAGTGGAGTGTTATATGCTATTTAAATCATACAAATCCATTTATACTTCTTGTTATCTATGTAGGAGAGCTGACTACTATATGAAAAAGAGATACTGTATATAACACACTTTTAAGTTATATCAGTTGTGTTCTCTATAGTTATATTTCTCAAAAATGCTTTCAAGTTTCCATAGTTTGGTGAAGATGAAAGATAAAACATACTACCATATTTATGCTTTAAGGTTTTTTTTTGCTTACTTATAAACCATTTAGCAGAGATAATTATTTGAACTCAGATTCATTTATGGAAATTATTAAAAGCTGTTTAATAATCAAGAGAGGAAATATAAGAATGAGAAGGACTAATAGAAATTGAACACTTAATTTTACTATTCATTGTGTTGATTCTAATTGTGTGTGTGTGTGTTTGGTTGTAGATGGATATATCTTGTTTAATTTGCAAAAACTCTTAAAAATTTACGTCTGTTGTATATATGTGATGTGTAAATCAGTTGGAGGAGGAACTGTTTAATTCATAGAAGAATTGGCCATCTCTGAATATTAGAAATATAATTCATAATGTAGGATATTAGTAATTTTTTTCATAGAACAGATAGGGAAAGAATTTTGTAAAACATGGCAATTATGCCAGTCTTTGTTATTTTTCTTTTTGTTGCTCAGAGTATATTTTCAATTGTTCCAGTGATGTCAAGATTTTGAAAAGATTTTCCTGAGTTACCTCTTGTGATTTTTAAGAAAGGATGATTCAGTGAAATAGGAGAGATCTTAATTATAAATTCTGGATAAATTGTATTGTGGATGAGGAATACTTCTTGTCAATATTCTTGGTATTTTTTTAAACTGTGGTAAAATAAACATCACATGAAATTTACTGTCTTAGCCAATTTTGAGTGTGTAGTTCAGTCATGTTAAGGATATACACACCTTTGCAAGCTCTCCTAGAGTTTTTCATCTTGGAGAACTGTAACAAAAATTCATTAAACATTAACTCCCTATTTTCCTCTCTCCCCAGCCTCTGGCAACCACAGTTCTTTTTGTTTCAATAATTTTGGGATACTGTAGGACTCTTATAAGTGGCATCATACAATATTTGTATTTCTGTGACTTTTTGTCTTTTAGTTAACACAGTTGTCTCAAGTGAGTTCTATCATGTGTCAGAATCTCTTTCCTTTTTAAGGTTGAATAATATACCATTATGTATATATATATCACAGTTTGTTTACTTATTCATACATTGATGGGCACTGAGTTGCTTCTACCTCTTAACTGTTGTGAATAATGCTGCTCTGAAAATGAGTATGCAAATATCTCATTGAGCTGCTGATTTCAGTTCTTTTGGATGTATACCCAGAAGTGGAATTGCTATATCATATGGTAATTCTGTTTTTAAGGTTTTGAAGAACTGCTATAGTGTTTTCTGTAGTGACTGCAACAACTTATATTCCCTCCAGCAGTGCATATATATTCCAATTTCTCCAGTTCCTCATCAATACACACTTTTCTGTTGGTTTTTATTTTCATTTTTTAAATAATAGCTGTCTTAATGGATGTGAGAAATATGTTCTTAGTATTTCTAATTGAACTTCACTTCTTTCGTCTTTAATAATTTTGATGCAGCTAATCTAGAGAGTAAAGAAAAATAAAAGGTACTCTCTGTGATTATTACTATGATTATCATGATACTTGATACCTGGTGAAGTAAACTGTGTTGCTTATTAGTGAAATAGAAATTCTTTTCACTAT